GATGCACCATATTCTGAGGGCATCACTCCTCAGATGTTAAAGTAATGGTGGTTCAACAGTTTCTCTTTTGACCAAAGCACACTTCATGAAAGACACTTTATTCTCTACTGCAGTCATAGAGCATCACACTTTCCTAGACTGTCTGCAGATTAACATTCGATAAACTTGATTTGCCCTTTCCTTGACATCAAGCTTGACCGACTTCACCCTTACCTCTCGCCCAAGCGGGTCTCCCGCTCGTAGTGGGTGAGCGCTAGTCCTCCTCGTGCGCCGGGCATTACTGCCTTCGCCGCTACTCACACATTACTGCCTTCTCCACGCCCGGGGAGTCTCAGCACAAGGGATGTAGAAAAGAACAGGCAGGCGGCTTCCGCCGCTCTGGACTAACGCTGGCGCAGAGCTACACGAGAACCCCGTCACCGCCTCTGTGGCTGCTTAAATACTCGTAGAAGAGCGGGGCGGAGCACATGGAAAAACATCATGACGGAGTCATGACACTCCCGGCCAAAAAAGCGAAGGAAAGTAACGAGGAGTGGTTTCCTCCCAGCGGGAGGTTGAGTGACAAGTGAAGTCTTTTTTGAAATAGGTGATTCCGGAAAGGGAGTTTTGACGAGATTAAACACAAAAGCAAGACATTTAAATGGAAATATCCTTCACAATTAAATGCATACATTCACATTTAAAACTGATCATCGACTTATGATTACTAGAATTGTACAGATAACTAATCTACATATGATTACATGTCTCTGAGCGTTCAGCTTTAACAATCGACCACCGAAGTCCTCTCAATCGTAAAGTCTGGTAAGACGCTTGCTGTTTTCTTTTCTTTCCGATGGTATTCACACGTTCTCCCAACTATTTATTAGCCTCGTATAAGTGAATTGTTCATAACAAACACCAATTGAAGCCAGCTACAATCGACCAGTTTGAATAAGAAAAGGTGAAAAATTAAATCAAATAGCTGATTGAAATTTGAAGTAAGTTTGAGAATTGAAGGAAAAAAAATCGGATTAGTTGACATTGATAGCTGTAATTTGACAATTGAAAGCTGAACTTGAAATTCGTGCTCAAATTTTAGATTGACAATGGCTTGATCATCTTTATGAAAAGTTGAATTGCTTGAAAAATTGAGAAATTGAATGCATTGAAGGAATTGAATTATTTGAGAACATTGATAAAATTGAAGAGTGAGAATTGAAGGAATGGATTGACGATCAAATTGGATGGAAGATTGAAAGTGATAAGATTGAAGTAAGAAGAAATTGAAGTGAGAGGAGTCAAAATTTAAATTTATGCGGGCAAAAAGCACTATGATGATCGTCGTCTCTGTTTGCCTTTCTACAATAAAAGCAATAGCTGGGATTGGGACAAGATGTCGCTACGTGATTGCCTTTAAGCAAGCAGCGCTCGCACCACCTTTTCCTTTCGTCAAGCCTACGTTTACGATCAGAAAGGGTGCGGAAGCGCTTGCAGTCGCATGCGTGATGGTTACCATCACACAATGCACATTTTAGCTGCTGCGAGTTGGAACCGTCTACCTGATGACTCGGACCGGGCTGTGGTGAGCGACGTCTCGGTGGCGCAGCAGCAAGGTTTTTCAAGATATCCTTCTGCTCCCCTAGCTCCTTTAGAATGTCCTTCTGTTGGTTGTACACTTGCTCGAGCCCGACCATCGTGCGATCTACGACAGCTTTCATAGTGGTTGTACGTTGATCGATCGCGTGTAGCAGCGTCTGAAGGAAGCTCTATGTGCTATATCGTTCATTGACTGCCTTTTTTTTGAAGTTTTCCTTTTCTTACTTTTTTTTTGCTAGGAACGAGGGACTACCTCTTCACGTCGAGCTGGTCGGAGAGATTTTGTTCCTATCTTCGATGATTGACCATTTTTGATTTTATTGCTCGAACGTGTCGTCTTCTTAAAGGAGTGTTACTTTGACAAGTAAGCAAAAGGGATTCTATCCAAAATTGACGTTGAGAGAAAAAAAAGTTGAAAATTGAAAGATTCTGGTTTTTTTTTGACAGAAAAGCAAAGTTATCCTTGAGAATGGCATGAAATCTAACTTTATGGAAGAAATCTGAGGAATTTCGATTTTGAACCTAGCAGTAATTAAGTTGAAAAAGATTGAAATGTTGAAAAGTTGAAAGGTTGTAATGTAGGGTACTTACGGATACACTGCCCAGACGATTTTTCATCGGCTGGATATCTTCACTTCTTCCCAGAATGCGATTGACCTTCCTGTGTACTGCGGATAGTTCATCAGCTTCTGGAGGTACGCGTGGTTCGTCCAAGGCGCGGTACTCAACCCTCGGTGGACGTTGGGGTTCCTGTTCCGGCGGGCGCTGGTCTTCGTTGCCACCAGCGGCTTCCTCATTTCCCGGTTCAACGGGGATTTCTTCCTCGACCTCTTCCATAGCTTGAATAGCCTCGTCCTGGTTTTCCATCTCTGAAGGAATAGTTGATTGGAATGCTTACCCTTTCGCTTCCAGCCGCTCAACAGCGAAAAGTTCGCGAAATCAAGCACAGGAAGGAACGAAGTAAGTAATTGAAAGTATTCCTGTTTCAGTATTTTGAGATTGAAATATTGACTAAAGTAGAAGAAGTACCTAATTTATATTGTTGTACTGATTCTAGGCTAACTCAAATTATTCAAAGGGAGTGATGAAGGTGCTAAAGAGTGGTTAATGCCCAAAATTGCTAGTATGACTTTTGAAGAAGAGTTGTGGAACGATGTCGAAGCAAAGAAGAGCAAAGACGGACCGGTAAATAAAGAAAAAACCTAACAATGCGCTGAGAAATTTTGAAAAGAGAACAGAGCACGAAGGCCGGGACAAGCAGGAATGGGAGTGTTGAAGCCGTGGAAGCTGTTCGTGTCGTCGTTGTTTTGGCGGCGCAGAGATAGGAAGCTACGATAAAGGCGGCTGCGGGTAAGCTTATGAGAACGACTACTGTATAGATGTAGAACGATCTGCAGACGTCAATGAAATGGGCTATGTCTGGGAATTCCCATTCGATTGTAAAACTGTCTTGATCAGCTTGTGTTGAGTTATTCCACAGCTTCGTATATTTCCAGAACGGTCTCATTCCGTTGATGTAGTTGAGTGTTCCGTATATTTCTAGAATCGTTGTTTGAGTGCCGCATCGGACGCGACATTGTTCCCTCACGCGCGCTTTATTGAAAAACAGCCGTATTTGGTTTTCCTTCCCCTCGCGTGTGCATGTGAGCACGAACTGTTGATGGCCGCACGTTGCTTGCGCGGTTGCTCGTGGCGTGTCTGCTGAACAGTCTATTGTGGCCACTGCCCCTTTGTAGCAGTTGTAGCAGCCGCTCAATGCGGTTGCTGCTACGTTGCATTTGAATTCAATTGCCTCCCTCTGTATTTGCAGTACGGTTGAATCGAGTTTTATCGCTAGTTCTATGGAGAAGGATTTGGTGTGGATCTTCGGTATCCTCTTAGGTCCTGCTACTATGATACCATTTGGAATCGGTAACGGTAGCATGTGTGACAGGTGGTACACCTGAGAAATATTGTTCTGGGCGCAGTAGCACAATATTGAATCTTCAGCCGGGTTGCATTTACAAGTGTCTCTTATACTGCATTGAGTTGGGGTATTGAAAATTGCAGGATTTGAAGTACAAGCATAACTAAATGTAACATCGTCATCCAGGTATGCTGTAGTTCTGTTGTTAGAGATGAAGCGCTTGTATTGGATAGTATTTGGTGAAAGGGCAAAGTTGGTCACCTCCACCTTGGTGTTGCCAAATGTGCGCTCCTCATAAGGCTTGATTTCTCCTGTGAAGGTCCTTTGAATTTGTTTAGTATCCAGCTGTTCGAGTTTAAGTTTAACGGTTTCATACCATGAAGAGCATTGAAAAACTTCGTGCACGTCGTTACCTGTAGGGACATGATAGATCCGATAGAATAGGCATCCGGAGGAGGGGAATCCGCATGAACATCCCCATCCTCCGCATGACTCTGTACAGTAGGTGATCCCTGTAAAATTATTAGCTATGTCAAGCTCTTCTACAAGTGTATCCGTGGAGATTCCGGCACATTTGAGTCCAGTACATGAACCCCTGTGTGGGCATCTCTTGCTGGATTGCACACGAGTTTCCGTATCTTGAGTAAAGTATAGAGATTCTTTTTGACATCGAAGGACTACTTCTTCCGCTGTGATCTTCATAAGATGAGCCTGAGAGCTCTTATGCTTGATTTGCAGGCATAGCTCAGACTGCATAGAGTTGAATTTGACGACAATTGTTGAGATATTAGTGCAGTGATGATCTCCTGCATTGCAGTGATTGAATGTTGACGCCACAACTATTACTTGTTGGCATCCAAGGGCTGTGGAGGCAATGGCACAGATTGCTAAAAGCCGTATGAATGTAGAGGTCTTCCATCGTCCGTGGGGTTTGCTGTCAATTTCTATCAGAGGAATATCCTCTGTTGATGGTTTTCGTCGTATTAGTCTTCTTGCGCAAAGGCTTTTAACTATTCCGACTTTGTTCCAAGCGCTTTTGCATGCTCTACATATCCTCGTCATAGTACGCACCATAAGGTATACTGTGACGAGAACAATGTAGAAGAGCGCCACGGCCAGTACGATTGCTACCCGAGGCCAGCATTCTGGGTTCGTGACCATTGGTGTGCAAAACGTGCAGGTGATCTGCTCGCAGAATGGACTCGGGGAGCAAGCCCAGTGGAACGCTTGAGTTGAATTCAAAAGTAACGTCTTGACCAATACGTGATAGGAATGCAGCGTTATTTCTGCTGGAAATTGAATTTGGGTGACTTGATCCGGGTTTTCTACTTCTAAGCAATAGTCATTCGCGCAGACATATATTCTATCTTGTTGTTGTCGCGTTTTGATAATTATGCCCCCTTTTGTGCACTGCACTATACCTTCATCGCTCTCTGTGTTCCTTCTCGATTGCACGCTTGCGCAGAGGCTGGTCAATAACGTAAGCATGAGCCAGCGCTGGCAATATGTTTTGAATCGACGGCCGTTCAAGTTTGCATTATGCGTTTGAACGGAGTTCACGCGATAGTCTTTCTTTTCTTTTGCGCGGCGTGGCAGCCACGGTCGAGTTCGAGTGACAGTGCGGTCGGATTGTGGGGTCGTGACCTCACCATCGGCTGCTCTACCGTCATTATCGGACTCCTGTTTTGCTTCCACCGATTGTTGATTGATTGTTGATTCTGATTCGTTGATTTTGTTTTGAGATAGTTTTTCTTCTTCAACTTCTAATGGAATGAGAAAATTGATCGATCTTGTAATATTTGACTTGGCCGTTTTCAATTCAACTGATCTCACAGTACCGTCATGATCTTGGATCAGTTTAGTTACCAGTCCCAATGGCCATTCTCCGCGTGGCGTGTTCTCTTCCATTATGAGCACAACTTCACCAGTGTATGGCTGTTTTCTTGTAAAGGACTTTTGTTTGATTCTCGTTTGGTGAAAGTTTCGCAGTTCTAGCAAATAGGTGTTTGTCCAAAATGTCCACAAGTGCTGTAAATAGCTCAATTGGTTTTGAAAACGTTGAATAGCTTGTTCTTTCGTTGAAATAGTTGGGAAATATTCCTGGTCAGGCTCGTTTTGATATACTGAGGGTAAAAGATTGACGTCTGCGTTAGGTATAATGAAGTCTATTGGCCGAATAATCACTGAGTCTTCTACCGTGCTACCGGAATATGTAAGTGGTCGTGTGTTAACCATCGCCTCACACTCTGGTACCACTGTAATAAACTCGTTTTCCTGCATCACCTTTTTCCGTGCTATTTTTTTGAGAATTGACTTCACTACCCCTATCATACGCTCATAGAAACCCCCTTTCCATGGGGAGAGTGGAGTGATAAATTTCCATTGGATCCTTTCGTTTGAAAGGAAGGTTTGAATTGTATGAGTAGCAACTTCAGTGCGATCACTTAGTCTTGCTATTATTTCGCATCCTAAAGTGAAATTTGTTGCATTATCGGAAATTATGAGCACTGGCTTTCCCCTTCTTGCTATAAATCGACGTAGACCATTGAGAAAGTCTATGGCGCTCAAACTATTGACGATTTCCAAATGCACAGCTCTCGTGACCATGCACGTTAAAAGTAAAATCCATCTCTTTGTTTCTCCGTTTTCGCTGCTCAACACTTGAAGGGGCCGGCGAGGTCGATGCCAACATGCAAAAACGGCCGCGACGGCTCCGTTCGAGAATGTGGCAGTGGTGGAGAATCAGGGTAGAAAAAGGGTTTCGAATTCCACTTTTTGCAGACCAGACAAGACTTTAACAATTTCTTGACTATTTGCCGACCTTTCGGGAGCCAATAATTCAAGCGAAGATTGGCTAGTGTCCCGTTAACTCCTTGATGTCCACAGCGAGTGTGGATGTCTTTGACGAGCAGGCTGGTGAAGTTGTGGGCTTCTGGAAGGAGAATGGGTTCTTGAGTTTCTCTCGCTAAGTGTTTCGCGTGAATTCTTCCGCGACATCTGATCAGTCCGTTTTCGTCTCTATATAATTGCAAATTACTGAGTTTCGTGAGCTTCTCTTGAGTGAGCGTCTTTTGTGCTGACTTGATCAAAAGTGTTTCAGCCGTCAGGAGATCGGCTGCTGTTAAGGTCGCCAGCGGTGTGTCGGCTGCAATGCGCTCAAGTTCAGGTATGGCTTTCTTCAATACTTCTTTATTTGTGGTTGAGACTTTGTTGAAAATTTTGAATTTGAGAAATTTCATAACTAGTGACAGAACCCTTTTGTATTTTGGTAACGATGAATATTCTCTGGGGAAGAGTAATGGCTGGCACTCTATGTCAGACTTGATTGCAAGAACTGTATGGGACAGTTCTTTTAAGCCGGAGTCCTTGTCCCCTTTGTGTTCTACTGAAGTCCAGGAAAATTCTGGCAGTTCAGGCCATTTCGAATTTTCTTTGAGTATAAAAGCAGGGCCAGTCCACCACGTGTGTGTTTTGAATTGATTCTTTGTTAGACCTTTTGTCGCACAGTCTGCAGGATTCATCTCTGATGGTATATAGTGTAAGTGACATGTTATCCCACTGTCTGACCAGTTTTGAATTTTGCTTCGAATTTCTTGACATCGATTGATAACAAAGGTTCCGTTCCTAGTGTTTGACTGTACCCAGTTGAGAGTCACTTGTGAGTCGCTAAAGATGTGGACTTCCTTTATTGACAAGTGCATTTCTTGAAGCGCAAAGTTCGTTAACCGGACTCCAATTAGGAGAGCCAAGAGCTCTAATCTCGGTATTGTCACTGTTTTCGCATTCTTATTTATCGGTGCCAAACGCTGCCTGGCTATGAGCAAACTGCTACGGGTAACACCGTTGACACCGATCGTTCGCAAGTAGGTTGCGGCAGCGAACGACCGTGCCGACGCGTCGACGAATGTGAGAAGTTCATACCTATTGTTCATTGCGAAGCATGTGATTGCGCGAGGGACCGACACTTCGAATTCCGCTGCATTGTCACAGATCGTTTGCCATTCTTCTTTAAGATCTGGGGGTAGGACCTCGTCCCACTTGTAGTTATGCTTCCATAAGTCTTGAAGAAAGAGCTTCGCCGGTAAAAGTAGGGGTATGAGCAACCCTAAAGGATCGAAGGTTGAGTGTGCTAATTGTAACGCTTTACGTTTCGTTAAAGTTGGAGAGGGTTTGAGTTTGCACTTGATTGAAAATGAGTCTTTTTGATGATCCCACGGGATTCCAAGAATTTTGGATGACTTGGCGGTTGATAGATCTGCAGGATCGATTGCTTTGTTGCAATTGTCGTCGCTGGAGATAAATTGACGAAGATTCATAGTCATATTATTGAACAGCTTTTTGGCCATTCGATATTTATCAATGAGTGATTGCGTGGAATCATCTGTAAGAAGGACATTGTCCACATAAAGATTATCATTGAGTTGTCTTTGAAAGTCTTTGTCGGGGATTGATTGCTGTTCGATGCCGAGTTTAATTGAAATACCCAGCAGGAATGGAGACGCATTTATTCCAAATGGAAGGCGACAAAAGCGTAGTATTCTGAGGTTGTTTGGTGTTGGTGGCTGATCCACGTTTCTGAGCCATAGGAATCGAACGGCGTCTCTCTCACTCTCTTGCAGATGGATCATATGGAATGCCTTCTCAACGTCCGCAATCAATATCTTGGACCCTATTCTGGATCTCAGAAGTACTCCGCATAAGTTGGGTAATATGAGAGGTCCTTGATAGATAACATCGTTGAGACTTAATTCCCCTTTCATTTTTGAGGATGCGTCCAGAACGATGCGTGTCTTCGTTGTGGCACTTTCGGATTTGATAACAGCTTGATGAGGGATATAGTAACACGGTGTTGAATTAGCTATTTGAAAACGTGGTGCGTCTTCAATGAAGTTCTTCTCGAGCTGTTGCTCGATTATGCCACAGTATTCCTTCCAGCAGTGAGGGTTGCGCTCCTTCATTTTGAATAGTTGATGGAGTCTACTCAGGGCAAGATTGTAGTTGTTCGCCAGGCGGTTCTTATTTGACTTCCAAGGAAAGCGCACAAATATTTTGTTATCTTTGATTTGTACCGTTGAATAGAAGTCGGCCACAATCTTATTATTGATTTCTTCTTCCGAGCTCATATCTTCTATTCCAATTGAATTGAGTTTCCACAGCTCGGAAATGTCCATATCGGTTTTACTGGAATCAAGCGCTGTGCAGGTGTGTACAACCCTACAGACATGGTCGTTTTCAGATTGTTCGCACTCCTTATGAGCCACTCCTGACAACACGGGTCCGAATATGGTCGGTGTGAGGAATAGCCCAGAAGGAAGGCGAATTACAGGTTCGTGGAGCTTCATGATTGCGTTGAAGTAGTCCATCCCAATGAGTATTTCAGGCACTACTGTGCCGCAAACTCCATGGAGTAGCCGTTGAGCTTCGTTGCTGGGGAAGTGATCCTGAATGAATATCTCGTCCTGAGGGAGTATCGAACCTACTTGGAGAGGAGGGGTGAGTTGATCGTTTGTTAAAAGTTCAACTTCCATACCATCCCCTTCCGCATTGTACAGACAGGTGACCACCCTTTTTGACTTTCTTTTTTCTGCTTTACCTCCAAATGTATTCACCACAATAGTTGACTCGTTCTGAATTTTAAAGCTCATCCTTCTAACAAGCGATGTTGATATGAAGGATTGGTCTGAGGCCGAGTCCAAAAGTGCTAGGACGACCTCCTTCTCGTGACTTTTGCATGATTGTAAGTAGACTGGGACAACCATCAAACGTACGTTGGTGCTGCTTGCAAAAGCGGCTGTGAACTCGTTGTTGAATTGGTCTGCAACTTGACTGTTTTGAATTTGAAAATTCACCGTGACGTTCTCCCCGGATCTCCTTCTAGTCTGTGGGGATTGACTGAATCGAACTTGACGCTCCGGGGTTCTTGAAGGTGAAGGTGAATGTTTGAATGTGCTTTGATTGAATGGCCGTCTTGACAATGGTCTTGGCGACGACCTTGGTGACGATTGATTACGTCGATTTGAAGTGAAATGTCTATTCCTGGAGGTTTGTCTGTTAGGTGAATAGCTTTGGCTTTTGAAGGGTTTTCCGGGAGATTGACTTCGTTTCCTTTCGTAGAGTGCCCTATGATTTATTTGTCTTTGAAAGGGAGAAAGGGTTCTCCTGTGGATAACATTGGAGTGTGCCTCAGGCAGGCGTCTCTGACGTTGACGGCATATGATGTAACTGTGAGGACCGCTGCAATAGAAACAGTTCTGCTTTCTGCAGAATGCTGTACGGTGTTTAAGGCTGAAACACTTCCAACAAGCGTTGAGTTCGCGGAGACGCTCAATCTTCTGTGTAGTGTCCGGGTACTTGTTGCAGTGCTGAAACCTGTGCTGCTGTCCGCAGCCAGTGCAATGCAACTTTGACAGAACGGTCGTGTTGGTGTGAAAGATTGAGCGTTCGTTTTGATATGGCTCCCTTATGCCATCAACGTGCTCTCTGCGTCTGATTGCCGTTGACAAGTTATCCAGAAGATCCTTCATGCTCCATAGGCTGCCTGAGTCGAATTCTTTCTTTGCCATCTCCTCTTGAATACTTTTTGAAAACGTTTCTAGGATCATGGTCCTCATGTTAGTAGTATTGACTGCCTCTCCTTGTTTCTCTAACGTGGCTATAATAGCTTGAATGTCACTTAGGTTATTTCTCAAGGAGCGATGGTCATCTTGGCACTGCTTCATTGATTTAAGTTTTTGAATCATTTGTATTGTGATCCGCCTTGGATCTTGATATTGACTTTTCAATTGACTAATAGCCTTCTCGTAGGACTCCCCTGTTCTTGGCACCATTTGAAGGGACCTTGCTGCATCTCCTTTGCAGCAGTTGATAAGGATTGACAATTTTTCAATGTTTGAGTAGGGTTGTTTGTGTACTAGCTCTTCAAATAATTCCCAAAATGAATCAAAGTCGGAGGGATTACCATAGAAATTTGGAATTTTGAGTTCGTTTCCCAACAACCTTGAGTGAGTCACAGGAGGCTGCTGCATTGCTGTCTGTGACAGTTGAGGTTGATCCAGGAATCTTTGTTCTCGTTCCCTCTTGAGCTCTTGTCGGATGCTGGCTTCTTGGCATTGAAGTTCCACTAGCCTTTTCTCCAGCTTGCGTTTGAATTCTTCTGCTTGATGGAGTAGTTCTTCTCCCCTTCTATCGGACCAGTAGTCATCGAACTCTTTTTCGTATGTCTACCTTGACTTCTTGAGTGAGGTCGTTGATGGATTGATTACATTCCGCATAGTAGTCGCTGATGTCGCTCCAGCGTTGTTCCAACTTGAACATTAAATTTTTTACAATCATGCCCTTTGAAATAAGGAAAGTTTCTAACTCTTGTGCATTGAAGGGAAAATTCCATGGCTCTTCGAATTCGCGAGCCTCTTTCAGTAAACTATTCAGGGCGTTGAGTTGCCGAGTCAACTTCTGTTTCGCATTCTTCAGGATAAATGGCTGCGACATGGTGGTCTTGGATGATGTCCTACCGATGTGCTGTGTATCGTCCTTTGCTTGTATGGCGTGTATGCTGCTGTCGATGAAGACTGCCGGTACTGGAGGGAGCGGCAGGCGTGAGCTTTATA